TTTGACTATATGATCTTAAGAATTTTTTCTTAAAGTAGAATTTATCCATATTTTATTACGACTTTGAGGTTTTTATTTACTTTTAAAATATCTTTTTAATATTATATATATATATATATATATATATATACACACACATATATATATATTTATATTCTCCAATGTATTCATCCAGCACATTTATGGTATTGTTTTTCTCATTTAAATCTTTATTCCTGAGTGAAGGGCATTCTATGTAGACAACGTGAGGAGTTTTGACTGTGAGAAAGTGTTCCCTTTTTTGTTAGTGGTGTCTGGATTATAGCATTTCCTATTAGTTTCTCTTCTAATAGGAGCTATTAGAAGCAACCTGCTCTGTGGTAGAGGGCAGCAAGGAGTCCTGATGGTTGAAATGTAGTTGAACATGGGGCAGTGACAGTTTTAAGTTATAAGATTTTGGCAGTTACAGAGGATTGTGTCAAGGCTGGGCAAGTGCCAGAAAGTAGGGTTTGAGGTGGGGTGAGGACCACTTAAAAAGCAATTCAGTACATCACAGCTCCAAGATGAGCATCCACAGACCCGAGTTTAGCTCATGGGAGCTCCTAGTGAACCTCGGTGTTCCGACAGGTTGGAAATTATGGTCTTTTCTCCTAAAGCAGCTGCAGAGTACTGATCAACCATTCTCAGACTTCAGAAGGGGAACTCTGGTGAATTAGTGCAGTGGTTTTCTACCCTGGCTGCTGCATTAGCGTCTACTCAGAAGATTCTTACTTCACTGGTCTGAGGTGAGGCTTTAGCAACAGCATTTTGAAAACTCCCCAGGTGCTTCTGAAGTGCAGCTAGGGTTGAGAACCACTGTTTAATGCTGTCAGTTTGCAGTCCCTTTGAGTCAGGGATTGCCGTGCAAGCTGCCTTCATGCTTCCAAATGTGCACATGAATCACCTAGGATCCTATTAAATACAGATTCCAATTCAGGAGGTCTGAGGTGGGGCTCCCACCCAGGTGACCCTGAGGCTGCTGCTTGTCACCAGACCACACTTAAGTGGTTTGAGCATGTTACTCAATGTGCAAAGTACTGGCTTACACCAGGCAGAGAGTCTACAGTAAGCATTTTTCTGCTCTCTGGCAGAATTTGCTTAGTGTAGTCAAAAGAACACTGGGGTCAACAGGCCTGCTATCCCCTTGCAGCTCTGCCCCTAATTAGCTGTAAGACAAGTCTCTTAAAAGTGCTTCAGTCTTTCACCCTCTAATCTCTGAAATAGGAGGGTTGAACTGGATAAACTGTAAGGTTCCTTTTGTTCCTGGCTCCTCCCATGCAAGTCCGGGGTATTTTCAGACTCCGTGGAGACCAGGTTTTTACGTGGAATGAGCCAGAACTCTATACTAAGGACCCTGACTTGGCTTACCGTCCTTTCTTCCCCCCAGGCGTGGGGCCTGGGCCCTGAATTTAGGATTGACTGGAGGAAATAAAACTAACCAATGTTGAAAAAAATTAAATAAGATTTTACGTTAAAGTGTAAGCTATAGTAAGTACAAAAAGAATTCAGGGAAGCCAAAGTGGAGCGTTTACTGGAATAGTCAGGGGAGATATGAGTTAAACTTTGCTTACCATCCTTGATGGACTGTAGTGCTGGTTCAGGGTGGAGGTTCTCATGTTGTCTTTAAAATAGCATTCTTCAACAGCGATGAACAAAACATATTCTTCTGCCTTAAAGAGATGCAGGGGAAAGACTTATTTTTGTGGAAGTGTTTGAAGAAAAACTAAAATGCTATAAACTTTTTTTTCTATATTTAATTTTTCAAGGCTAATCTTGACTTTTAAGAGATTGATACTGAAAAGAAAAATTGCTACGACCAAATATAGGCTGGATCAAAACCCCTTGCATACCTCCTGATAGACGCTAATAAACAGTATCAGAATTTACCCAAAGTGAAATTAAAATTCCTTAAATTGTAAGTGATATTAAAATGACATATCTCTCTATCTTAACTCATGGGAAAGAAGACCAAGTAATTTACTTAGATTTTATAACATAGGTACAAAGGAAGTTTTGACTTACCTCTTTTGATGTCAAAGGAGACATATTTTGCATTGTAATTTGAATTTCATTAAACTGTGGCTTCCCTTCAGAAAAGGTTGTATAGCCAGCACTCAGGTATAGGAAAATATGAAATAAAACAGCTGCCTTCATTTGATGAATTATATTCAGTATACACAATTTAGCTTTAACTGTTCTCTGAATATCTGAACAGGTTTTTTTCTGTATTGCTCAATTATTTTTAAATTGCAGACTGTCAGTACTTTTTCTCACAAACACATAGCGTTATGGTTTTATTGTATTTGGTAAATCTTCATATAATCAACTATTGATTATCTGTCATAACAAGAGTGATAATACAATAGAGTAGCAAATCTTCTAGTTTTAAACTAATAAACACAATAGATGTCATTTTATACAAAGAATATTTTGGTTGCAAGTGACAGAAAACCCAACCCAAATTGGGTGAAGCAAAGAAGGTAGTTTTGGGGGCCATGTAATTGAAAAATTGAAGGGTAGAGCTAGCTTCTGATATGGTTGGTTTAAACAGTATGATCAGGACCTGGTCTCTCTGCATCTCTTACCCTTGCTTCCCTTTGTATTGGCTTATTCTCGGGCTCCAGTTAATTACATGGTGGCTGCCAACAGTCCCAGGCATTTATTTTTCTGATTCAAATCCAGTAGAAAAGGGAATAGTCTTGTCCTCCTCTCCTGCCCCCCACAGTCCTGAATCACATCTCATTGGTTTTGATTGGATCATTTGCCCTTCTGAGTCTCTGAGGCCAGCAGGACTGGTGTCCTGATTGGCCACCAGTGACCGTTCCTGGATCTGAGGACCATGTCGACACTGACAGAGGAGAAGGGAATGATTCCTTAGAAGAAAAGTGGCTACTGATCCAAAAGAAGGGGGAATGGATACTTGATGTAAAAAGCAACAACAGCAGAAGCTACATGTCTCCTTTGTCATTTAAGTCAATATTCAAAGTCATTTACATTGTGTAAACACAAAGATTTCAGTGGTAGAAGGCCATGTACTTTGTGGTTGGTTCATATAGAACTAGAATTTAAAATAATTTCATCTGTAAAATGCAGAACCTTAATGAAATAATAAAAGCTGATAGTATTGGATACCTGAATGCTTACCCTACAGGCAGGAAGGATATTCAAAATGTTTAAGAACCTTTACAGTTGCATCAACCAGTCAGAATGAGTTGAGTTCAGTCAGTCAGAGCTGGTGCTGATCACCACCAACCAGCAGGACGCCTTTGGGGTTGCAGGCAGGATGTCAGCCCAATTAACTGGGAGGCATTGTAAAGGTCCTGCTATATTTCTCAAAAAATGTAGTTTCTTCTTAGTTTTCTTGGGCTGCCATAAAAAGACTATAAACAGGGTGGCTTAAAATACAGAAATTAATTTTCTCATAGTTCTGGAGGTTGGAAGTCAGAAATAAAGGCATCTGCAGGGTCATGCTCCTTCCAAAGGCTCTGGAGAAGAATCCTTTCCTGCCTCTTCTAGCTTCTGTTGGTTGATGGCAACCCTTGTTATTCTTTGGCTTGTAGATACACCATTCCAGTCTCTGCCTCTGTCTTCCTGTGGCCTTCTCCCCGGTGTGTCTGTGTCTCTACAGCACATTTCTCTGTTCTTATAAGGAAAGCAATCATATTGGATTTAGAGTCTAACCTATTCCAATATGACCTTATCTTAACTTGATTACATCTACACAGACCCTATTTCCAGATAAGGGTACATTCACAGGTTCTGGGGAGACATGAATTCTGAGGGGATGGTGTCTAATCCAGTACAGTTACCTAAAATCAAATGCTCTTGTATAGTTGGCATGACGTAAATTTGAAAATATATTCAATGTTAAATTGCTTACAAACACTATACTTTTTTCTTATTTTATAGTTAAAAATAGGATTTTTGAATCGTAGTAAAAGTATTTAAATGAGTTATGAATTTTTTAGTTGAAATGCTATTTTATATTTTTTACTGCATCAGATTAAGTATCCAAATCTTTCTTAATTATAATTATTTTAAATCTATTAAAATGTGAATGTTAGTGTGGCAATTTGGTGAAGAATTAATAATTTTTACTGATATGCGAGTATGTTTGTACATGAGAAGGTATTACATTTTTACACATGACTTTACTGAATTCAAACAAGTTTTACCTAAAAAAAATAGAACTGACAATAAATTAAATGAACAGCAAGTATAAAAAACAGGAGAGAAATGCAACTGGTGAAGGGCTTGGATATCATATCTTTCAAGGCACATTTGAAAATGGTGGTAATGATCTTCAACTCTTTGAAGAATGGCTCTGTGGAAAAGAGTAGATGCTAGTGGGAAGAACTAGGAGCAGTGAGTTAAGGTTAAAGGGAAACAATTCAATGCAATGTAAGACAACACCTTCCCAATGAACAATGTCCCACTTACCGAAATGGAGGTGACGGTGGTGTAAGGGCGTCGAGTTTATGTTCCTGCAAATGCTCAGGCAGGTGCTGCATAAATACCTCCCTGGGACATTTTAATGGAGATCTTGCCTTGATCCAGAAATTTAAATGGAAAGTCCCTAATTTCAAGATCTGTTGCAAGTTCTCCTAAAATTTCTCTTTCTGAATATGTCATGAAAATCAATATTACTTATGGACAAGATATTTCTATAAGTTTATGTGCTTTTTACCAGCTGCCAATCTAAAGCTTTGCTCTATGACTTCTGTGCTAAGAAGTGCTTAGGGGAAAAAATGGGGGTGGGGTGGGAATTTAATTTAAGAAAGGAGAGGATCAATATGTGAGAGAAGGGTGGGGAATTAAAACTTCTAATTATTGGAAGAGTTTATCCATATTATCTCATCTCATTTAATGTACTTAGTTTTTTATTTCTTGGTTTGGAACTTATGAGTAGCTGTAGTGCTTAGAATGATGAATTCTTAAAATAATTGTCACTTTCTTCTGTATTTTTTGGTGATGAAACACAGGACTCTTCTGATGGATACATGTGCAAAACGCATTTTCAAATTAAAAATGGGACAGTGGTGTCACATCCAGGAACATCTGCCCATGTACAGACGTGTCTTCCCATGGAGGTGAGTGATTTAACACGTCATGCTCTCCTTTTTAGCCTTTGTGAAGTATAAATTTAAATTTTTAAATGTGTTAAATATATATTTTAAAAAATTAACTGCCATTGGATTCCTGGCCTGCTGTCGGGGGAGAAGTGAACATCATTTGTTTTGTCAGAAGATATTTTCTTCTATAATATTTTTATTTTATTTTTTTAACTGAATTTATTGGGGTGACATTGGTTAATAAAATTATGTAGGTTTTGAGGTATACAGTTCTATAACACATCATCTGTATATTGTAGTGTGTGTTCACCACCCCAAGTCAAGTCTCCTTCCCTCACCATTTACCCCCCTTTACCTCTCCTGCCTCCCCCACCCCCTTTCCTCCTGGTAGCCATCATACTGTCGTCTGTGTTTATGAGATTTATTTTGTTGTTGCTTGATCCCTTCACATTTTTTCACCAAGCCCCCCAACTCCCCTTCCCTCTAACAGTGTCAGTCTGTTCTCTGTATTTATGTGTTTGTTTCTATTTTATGTTAGTTTATTTTGTTCTTTAGATTCCACATATAAGTCAAGTCATACAGTACTTATCTTTCTCTGACTGTCTGATTTCACTGAGTGTAATACCCTCCGAGTCCATTCATGCTGTCACGAAAGGTAAGATTTCCTTCTTTTTTCCTTCTATAATATTGAAAGCAGGAATTGTAGTAAAGTTGCGATCCACTCTGAGGCTATACAGATTGTAGTGAGCCTTCACCCTTTTGGTCTCCACAGATGCCTTCCTTCCATTGCCTATTGATTTCTCTCCCATGAAATTCCCCAGGATAATACAAACCTGTCCTGCTGCTGTTTAACACCCGGCTGGAGACCTCTTTGCCGAGCTTACCTCTAACGCTTTTCCCCTATGCTCTTTAAAATATGCTAGATCTGGGTCTCTTTCTGTAGGGGACTTTAACCTTGACTTGAAAATCTTGCTAAATTAAATTTTAATATGGTGATAATGGCTTAGTGGTTTCCTGGGATATTTTCAATTTAATTTTTATAAAAATGTAAGTAGCCTTATTGTATTTGTTGGTATTAATAAAAATACTTTATATATTCATTGTAAAAATAACCAATAGAGAAATCTATAAAAGGGTAAAAAAAATCTCCCATACATCCTTCAACTGGAGGTAACAACTATTAATATTTTAATAAATACCCTTCTACATGTTTCTGTCATGTACACACATACATACTTGCGTTTTGCAATGACCATGTATATTACAGACTTCTTCCCATGGCAGTAAATATGGAATTCCATAGTTCTCTTTTAATGGTTCCATTATATTCCATCCTATGGATGTACCATAATTAAGTGGAACCCATATTGAAGTAAAATACTTGAATTCTAGAATAGAATTTTGGGGCTCTTATTGCTTCTACACAAAGGATGAAATCACTTAGAATTGCTTAGAATTCTGAGTGTCCTGGTAAAATGGGTGAGGAGGCTTTCTTTTTCATTTTGCAAAAGAAAAGTTTTTCTCAGCATCTATTAAATCAGATCCATTTGGCAATCTGGCACTAGCCCCTTCTGCCTGTGTTTGACGCTGGCCTGGAAGTAGCTCTCGCCAGTATAATTTGGTTTGCAAGTAATTCTTGAGGGTATTGTGCATGGTAATAAATTAAGTGCCCCAGGGGGTGTTTGAATCTTGATTTCTGCTTCATGGTCCGAATAACCAACATCACATCTGAAGCCAAGTATGTTAGGGAGCTTTTCAGTTCATTATATATTAACTTAAAAAATGTGCATGGAAATGATGATTTAAAAGACAAATTACCAGCTTTTGCCCAACAATTTGGCAGAGATTTGAAAAGCACTAAAAAGGGGTGTTGACAGTGTGAGTGAACTGACACTTTCTGGTTGATGTTTTAACTTCACAAAGTTTAAAGATGTGCACATACTATGAACAATCTATTCCAAATCTAGGAATTTAGCTTCGTAAAATATAAATTTTCCAACATTTTTTATTTTCAACACTTCCCAACAAATTTTGAACATATGAGAAAATGGAAAGAATTTTGCGATGAACATTCACGCACCCATCACCTAAACTCCACCGTTCACGTTTTGCTCTGCTTGCTGTATTACATATCCATCCCTCTATTCATCTATCAATACACCTTTTTTTGATGCAAAACTTTTACAAAAAAGTAAATTGTAGGCAGATACTTATAAAATAATCAGAAGTGTACACAAAGACTTACCTGCAAGTATATTCATTTCCCCATTATTTATCATGAGGTGAATGGAAATAACTGAAATGTCCAGCAGTGATGGGTGAGATAATTATGGCGCACCTCTGTGATGGAATTCTTTATTGGGTAGGTCTAGAGTGAGAACTTTTAGCTTTAACAAGTTTCCAGGGGATGCTGATGCTGCTGGTCCAGGGACCATACTTTGAGAGGCGCTGCACTGCTCTATAATGGAATCCTCAATGAATTTTACAAGTGTAAAGGGGTTCTGAGACCAAAATGTTTGAGAAACACTGATCTAGATCAACTAAATATTACATGTGAAGAACATTGATAACTAGAATATATAATAAATGAATACATAAATAATAACTTAAAAATAAATTATAAATAGAATTAATCCATACAGAGAAGCATGCCAAGGGCCACGGTAAGCTTGGAAACATATTATTATGAGGAATAGCTGAGGGCTCTGGGGATGTTAAACTAGAACTGAAAACCTAGGAAGGTTGGCTGTCTTCAGATATATCTAGAAGGGTTTTCTTTGAAAGAGAGGAGACTTAATTTGTTTCTGAGGATAGAACTAGTTCATGCTTGGAAATGATTCTAGGTAAATCCCTGTAATGTTTAGAGTTGCCTACAGTGAACTAGGTCTACTTATAAAGCTTTGAGCCCCCTCTACTTCCATGGAGATTTTCAGCCACAGAATAGATAACCCTCTCTCCAGAACAGTAGTCACCAACTGAAATGCTCAGACGCTTAAAGCTCAAGGCAGTTGATGAGTGAGAGCAGTGGGTCAGTGGGAAGTGGTGGGAGCTGAGGAGAAGTTAGAGGGCATGACTCACCCAAGGGGGACTAAGCATGCAGCTCCGGTGGATTTTCAAGAAAAGGCAGTGATCTGGACTTTTGTGTGTTGGCTTAATTTAGAAAATAGACCTGTACAGGCCAAATAGACTATATTTATGGGCTTTAAATGGTCCTCAGGCCACCAGTTTATAACCTAGCTTCTAATATTATAGAAAGGGGTCCTGTATTGTATAGAAGACTGAGCTAGGGGATCTCAATTCTCTTAGAATTTAAAGCCTGATAGTGTATTTGTTCCATATCTGTATATCACATTTCCTATTTAAAGATATGCAAAGGAATGCTTCTGCTAATAGTTGTTTCAAAAATTTTTTTTACTTTGATCATGTATGATGTGGGAAATCAACTCACTTTTTTGTTCTAACTAGATCCAATAGCCTTGATTATAGAAAGATAGTTGGACTCAAGATTTTTATATCTGTGAGATTATCTACAATAGTATATGGATAATGATAATCATAGAATTAAAAATATCAGAGTGAAATATAATGGAATATATGAGAAATAATTTTTGAAAATCATAACCTATACCTTCTTTGAATTTTTAAAATATAATTTAAAATGATAGTTGAAAGAATAAATTAATATTTAGAAATCTGCTAATTATATTAGGGTGTCTTTTAGTGCTGGTTTTGGACAACAGGAGTTCTTCTAGGTTAATCATATTAGATAAGGCACTTATTGAGGGCAGTTAATATGATTTGCTTGTGACATTTCTGAGTTTGTGAAGTAAGAAGCAGGACTATGGCAAGTTTTGAGCAAGATCTTTTCTTTACCAGTAATCAAAAGAAATCTATAGCCTCAATTTAAAATCTTCTTAATATTAATGAATATTTTCAGTAGGAGCCAACATAGTTAACATTGGTCCTTGGGCTATCTTATTATATGGAACTCCTATTTCCTTAAATTGATGTTGGTGCTAACGTGTCACTTTATCAACTTATAATTTTTTAAAAATTTTGTTAGCAAAATTAAGATGTGATCATTTAATAGTAGTGAAAAACATGATTTAAAAATTGGTTTGCTTTAACAAATATGAACTTATTATCCTTATTAAAGTCTTATTTATATAAATAAAATAATATCTTGAGAATGGAAGTGGGAACATAACCTCTCTATGCCAATTAGACAATTTTTGATGAAAATTAGTCATTTAAAACTCATATGTGTCTATTATTGCAAAATAGCTGGAAACTTTAAAAATATTTTGTAAGATTCTAAATTAGTTAACTCACTGACTAATGAAGACTACAGTGACTAGAGTGGAGAAACAAGGCGTAAGTTCTTAAATCATGTTTAGCATTAAACTGCTCTTAATAAATGGAAACAGTAAGACGGATATTCAAAGTGGTATTGATTGTTAATAATCAGTAGTAGAAATTATTAATAAATGCTCAGAAGAGGGAAATACCTGGAAGTCTGTGGAACTAGTTTTCTGTCTGATGTTGCTCTGCTTTCTCTTTTCATCTCTAAAGTCTTCATTTATGAAATTCTGAACGACTTTCATAGAATAGTGATGGCTCAGATTTTGTCCTTTTGGTCAGTTCAGTTCTGATACCCATACATACTTATTTTAAGTTGATCGATGATTTCTTTATATTATTGAAATTTAGATTCTCCTGTCTGAAGTTGGATTCCTGAAATTCCAGTTCTTTTTTTGAACAGGTATCAAGGATGGGTCTCGAGTGTACTTTATTTATTTGTCATACTATCTTCAATACGTTAGAGCCTCGGGTTGCACCTTCAGGTTACTTTTTTTTTTTTAAACTATGAAAATGATAGTCATAAAAACAGCAATAGTATTGATACCATTGTAATAATCTACTGGGAAGAAAGGATTTTTGTCCTAGGGCCTTGTAGGCCACTAGCTGGGACTTTCCATGGCCCAGGGCAGGTAGCATATTAGAGAGAGCCCTCAACA